AAAAAAAAGAAAAAAGTACTACAGTTATTAGGAAGTTGGCATCCACAAGAAAACGGTATTAGACTAGGAACTTGCCATTATTTATTCCTTCTCAAATGTGTAGATCCTCTGTCCCCCAATCTCCGAAAAACAACGTCGAATTGCTTAACATCTTCTGCGATTAACTCAAGGGATCCTAAGGCAGCAGTTTGCCGGATGTCGTCCACAACTAATAACTCCAGGAGTACAAAACATCTTCTAGACGTTGGTGTTTTGTTCTGTGCAGGCTATAATTGAGGATAAGGACTATCTCTTGCTATCTCTGGAAAATCATGTTTTGCCTATTCTATGAGATACTGCAAAGAATTTTGAAATGAATAAACACATAGAAAAAACTGCTTGAGACCAAGAACGAGCACTGATAATGCATTTACAAACATTGCAAATTAGCAATTACTGCTAATAAGGAAAAGAAGTATTTCCTTGGCACTACCAAAAGGAATGTGATTGATAGGTGGCAAATTAGAAATTTTGGGGCTTTGTTTTTCTCTCTCTAGAATATTAGGTGTTACGCATAGGTTAATATATTATATTGCAGTTGCATATAAGCTTAGTTGTTATTTGATCGTTTGTGCTCGTTCAATTCTAGACTTGGATTATTGACCAATACAAAAACTATAGAGTTGAAAATTAATCAACCCAAATTTATTGAAAAGAAAAAAATTGACACAACCAACCAATACCTTTCAGGGCTCGAAAAAGCAGCTTTAGTTTCATCCTATAGCCTTCCCTTCTGTCTTAGTATGGTATAATTAAGAAAAAAAAAATCATGAAATTCTACAATAAGTGGAATATTTTAGGAAAAATAGAGAATTCAATATATTATTACCTCCATTCAGGTTGAGAAATGGCAGTAACTAGTCAAAGGGAATCGGAAAGTTTAGCTCTCTTAGGATATGGTTCAATCATATAGGAGTCCTTCACAATAGCTCTAGAAACAGAGTTACAAGAGCCATGATGGTTGAGCTGAATAACATGCTTGAATTTAGCTTGGACAGAGGAATGGATATCCGCAATGTTAAACCCCTTCGCGTCACGAATGAGCTTATTCCTTGCAAGCCAAATAGCATCCACGAGTATAGAAGCATAAAGTAAAAATTCCCCATCAAAATGCATGTTTGAGTTTGGATCACCAAATAACACCATTTCAAGAAAAGAAGCCATGGAATCACATGTGAGGGAATTTGTGTGGAGACACCATCGCGACATGAACCAAAGTGGTCGAACACTCTGACAATAAAGAAATAGATGGGTGGCACTTTCCAAAATCATACCGCAGAGTGGGCAAGTTGTGTCTGCCACAT